TTTAATTTCAAAATCATGTGAAAAAAAGTCATAATTTTGCTTCTAATCTCAGAATTCTGACATTTTCTCCTAACTCTGACTTTCTGTGGATTAGGTGGTTCTGCTGCCTCCCTCCTGCCATGACCTACAGAAGGAACTGGGGCGGTTCAGAGCCGAGGGGGAAACGGCCAGGATGAGAATCAGCTCCTCCAAGTCCAAGGCCATGGTTCTGGTCCTGGTTCTGGTTCCTGGTCCTGGTTCTGGTCCTGGTCCTGATTCTGGTCCTGGTTCTGGTCCTGGTTCCTTGTCCTGGTCCTGATTCTGCTCCTGATTCTGGTTTTAGTCCTGGTTCTGGTCCTGGTTCCTGGTCCTGGTTCTGGTTCCTGATCCTGGTTTTGGTCCTGGTTCTGATCCTTGTTTTGGTCCTGGTCCAGGTTCTGGTCCTGGGTCAGGGTTCTGGTCCTTGTTTTGGTCCTGTTCCTGGTTCTGGTCCTGGTTCTGGTCCTGCATCTGGTTCTGGTTCTGGTCCTGGTTCTGGTCCTGGTTCCTGGTCCTGGTTTTGGTCCTGGTTCTGGCCCTGATTCCTGGTCCTGGTTCTGGTCCTGGCTCTGGTCCTTGTTCTGCTCCTGGTTCTGGTCTTGGTTTTGCTCCTGGTTCTGGTTCTGGTCCTGGTTCCTGATCCTGGTCCCGGTTTTGGTCCTGTTTCCTGATCCTGGTCCTGGGTCAGGGTTCTGGTCCTGGGTCAGGGTTCTGGTCATGGTTCTGGTTCTGGTCCTGGTTTTGGTTATGGCTCTGGTCCGGGTTCTGGTCCTAGTCCTGGTCCTGGTTTTGGTCCTGTTCCTGGTTCTAGTTCTGGTCTCGGTCCTAGTCCTAGTCCTGGTCCTGGTTCTGGTCCCGGTCTCGGTCCTGGTTCTGGTCCAGGTTCTGGTTCTGGTCCTGGTTCTGATTCTGGTCCTGGTTCTGGTCCTTGTTCCTTGTCCTGATTTTGGTCCTGGTTCTGGTTCTGGTTCTGGCTCTGGTCCTGGTCCTGGTCCTGGTTCTGGTTCTGGTTTTGGTCCTTGTTCTGCTCCTGGTTCTGGTCTTGGTTTTGCTCCTGGTTCTGGTTCTGGTCCTGGTTCTGGTCCTGGTTCCTGATCCTGGTCCCGGTTTTGGTCCTGGTTCCGGATCCTGGTCCCGATTCTGGTCCTGGTTCCTGATCCTGCTCCCGGTTTTGGTCCTGGTTCCTGATCCTGGTCCTGGGTCAGGGTTCTGGTCCTGGGTCAGGGTTCTGGTCCTGGGTCAGGGTTCTGGTCATGGTTCTGGTCCTGGTTTTGGTTATGGTTCTGGTCCGGGTTCTGGTCCTAGTCCTGGTCCTGGTTTTGGTCCTGTTCCTGGTTCTGGTCTCGGTCCTAGTCCTGGTCCTGGTTCTGGTCCCGGTCCTGGTTCTGGTTCTGGTCCAGGTTCTGGTTCTGGTTCTGGTCCTGGTTCTGGTTCTGGTCCTGGTTCTGGTTNGGACAGAGTGCTTTATGTCTATATGTATAAACAGGTAGTTAGAGATAGTATTTAATGTGGCCTTGTTGTTCTGGTCGTTTTCTGTCTTAACTTCCAGAATCAATAAAGGTGTGATAAATAAATGCATTTTGGTGCTTTCCATTGCTGTTTTGGTCTCCTTCATTTAACAGCTGCATCCTTTATCTTTTATCTTTCTCTCCGATGACGATTTGGTCTCTTATCCTAGAATTCCTACTTCAGAACTGCTAACATCCAGGCCTGCTACTGTTAGTAATACTTTCTATCTGCAGTTGGCACCATCGTCTGGCCCTATTTCAAACAGATAGAGCTCAAAGCTCTGACTAAATGCTGACCAGTTCTCATAAACATTGCCTGACAGCTTCAGCTGGATGAATATCTTTCATTTTTATCTTCCTCTAAGCATGTTTAGAGCTGGGGGCTGTTTTCAAACTCTACTTTAATCAATGTCTTTGCCACACACACTTGAATAGAACAATGTCGCCTCCTGGTGGCCAACTCTTATCAGTACATTAATATTACACTGTAGACCAGAGAACTTCATGTTTAAGTTGTTAAAGTTGTTAGAAATGTCTTTTTCTTCCTTAGGTTGTGCTTCTACATTTATACTGAAGTCCCATAAAAGAAAATCTCACCATCCGTACCTTGCTTTTAATATAGAAACTAATTATCTTGAACTCTAAACATTCCCAATTATACCCAATATCAGCCGCTGCAGCACTAGCCACGCCCACTGCCAGCTTTTCAGCCAATGGGATCTATTGTCAGAATGTTGTACTTTCTTATTAATGTTGGTTGTTCTTTATAAAAATATTATAACATCTTAGCAACTGTTATGTTTTGTAGAAAGCAAAAATCACTTTATCCTGGTGTCAGGGGCGTAGCCAGAATATTATTGTTGGGGGTGTCAACATGGGGCACAGAGTTAGCAAAGGGTAACCAACACAAAGAAGAACTTTTATAAACAAAATGCAGAACACAAGCTCTCATGCTTCATAATCATGATATTTACCAGAAATTGATGGGTTTAGAGAATATTTGATGGTAATATAACTTAAAACAAAAAATAATCAAATAAAATCCTTGTTCTCAAACAAAAGCACTTTATTTAAATTTTAAAAATAGATTTAAGCAGTGGCAGGTGTTCAGTAGAGTGCGCTAGGGCTCTACTCTAAGATTAAACATTTTTTTACTTGCAATTAGCATCATCTTGCAATTACCATGATGATATGAAGGGGATTTGGATTCTCTCAATTGGTCCAGTGAATTTGATGCTCCTCCTACATGATTTATGTTGGTAAAGAGTTTGTTCTGGAAATTGTGATATTATCTTCCTTCTTCCTTGGATGTGAACGGATCCACAAAGGACGCCATTGCCATAGCTCTCCACTCTGCACTGAACCTTCTGGAGCAGCAGAAGAGCTACGTCTGGATGCTCTTTGAGGATTATTTCAGTCCTGCCTTCAACACAATAATCCTGAACAGACTCACCACTAAACTGCTCTCTAAAAAAATCTACAAACTCAGAGTTCATCCTCAGGATCCAGTCAGAGTCTCTTTAAACTCAGACTGCTGCAGCTTCAAGCTCTGTTGATCATCAGGACACAGATCAGCTTCTCTCCTCTAGTAAGAACATCCCCACACATCCCTGCAGAGAGAAGAAGGATGAACAGAGGAGATTAATGAGTGTTTCCAGCCTCTCTCTCTCCATCAGCTGTCAGTCAGTGATGCAGCACATCCAGGATAAAGAGCAGCAGGGACTTCAGTCCTGTTCAGAGTAGCTGTGGAGCAGCTGGACTCACTCCAACCATCTACTTACAGACACTGCAGTTTGTAGTCTGGACTCTCTACAAGATCCCACAGCTGCTGAACATCTGGCTTCTTCAGGTTGTTCCAACTCAGGTCCAGGTTTTCCAGATGTGAGGGCTTTGACTTCAGAGCTGAGACCAAAGAATCACAAATGGACTTTGAAAAACCGCAGTGCCTCAACCTGGATAAAAATGGAAAGATGTGAGCTGATCCAACAGGATGCAGGTTAGAACAGTCCAACAGAACCAATTAAAGAGCTCTCATTGATATTAATGCCAACATGCTGCTGCTCCAATAAAGAATTCCTGACTTCAGCAGAGAGAAGGAGAAATTACACACCAGATGGACCGTAGAGCAATGTGGTTCTCCTATCTGGGCTTTCCTCAAAGCAGACAGAAACCCAAACAGGACTCCAGCAGAACCCAAACCCATACCAGTAGTCACTTTGTATGTTGGGGAGTTAGTAGAATTATTATCAAATTTTTGAAATCATATGTGGAAATGTCAAGACTTGGCAAAACAATTTGAAATTATTTAAAATGTGTCGGTTGATCAACAAAAACAGGGTCATCCTTAGAGGATTGAAAATCTACAAACTGATATGCAAAACTGACCATGAGAAGCAGAGGAAGGACAGAGGGAGAAGCTTATAGAAAGAGAGCTAAAACCACTTAAGGAGCTGAATTTTTCAAAGAAAAAAAACAACTAACCTACATGTTACGAGCTGCTGTGATGATGAAAGCACTGTTGACAGGCTTAGGCTGCATTGTTACGAGGTTAGCAGATGCTTTATTACAGTGTAAATCTTAGAACCTGATTAAGAAATATGCACTGAGGTGTGTGGTCAACAGGCCTTGTTAGTGTAATTTGAAGAAATTGGTTAAGTTTGGGTCATAGCTACGAGCCATATGGCACAATAAATGAGTGTACGCAAGGAAGAGACTTTTATTTTATAGAGTCCCTTTAGTCTTATTTCGAAAGTCTATCATGGATGTGTGTTAAGGGAAGGGTCATGCCCAGCAGTGATACAGAATCCATTTCTAAATGTGAAATCACTGGTTTTCCATGTTATTGGGTGAATACATGCTGTATTAGAGCATAAATGGTAGTGTTTTATTGTGAAATTCGCTCTGGGGTATGTTTTGAAAAGGTCCCTAAAGTCTAATAGAAACAAGCTGGTAGAGTTTAGGTCATAATACTGAGCCATTTGCATCAATTATTACATGAGTATAATATTGAGGCTTTTATTTTGTAGGGTCACTGGAGTCTTATTTTGAAAGTCTAGAGGGGTTGTGTGTTGAGAAAAGGGTCAGACCCAGCAGTGATACTTAAAGACTTTCCAATCGTTAAATCACTCTTTTCCCCTGTTTTTGGGCAGTAGATGAAGTGGCAATGGGAGGCTTTTATTTAGAAATTTGCTGTGGGGTGTGTTTTGAAACCCCCCCTAGAGTCTACTTTTAAAAAAGTGGTTGAGTTTGGGTCATAATGTTGAGCCATATGCTGGGAAAAAAATATGAGTTTAATGTAGGGGCTTTTATTTTGTAGGGTCCCTGGAGTCTTATTTTGAAATTCTATCAGGGTTGCATGTGAAGGGAAGGGTCATGGCCAGGAGTAATATAAGCTGCGTCTCAATTCGCAGGCTGCGTACTTCCAAGGACGCAGCCTACGTAGCCTGCGGTGGACCCAGACTTGGTAGGCTGCTCCGGAGGATCCTCAGCCGTTGGTAAATGGGACGGTCTAGCCTTTGGAGCACTTCCTGGTTGCGACACGACGTCATCACGTTTACCCCAAAAACAGCGCGAAACAAAATCAGACAGCTTGAGAAATACGGAAAGAAACAACAAAAAAATAGATCTGGAAATTTTTATTTTTTTTATTTACTTGTTATTGGAGGAGGAGAGTCGCTTTGACGGCTTTGGCGGCAGCAAAACCAACGATGGATTTTTCTCAGGCTGGCAGAGCGCAGTGGAGAGGTAAGATCTACCTGCTATTATTCTAACCCACAGGGGCCGTCTAATGATCAGAATATACCAGCTATTAAATAAACGCTTGTCAGCAGATTGATGAATATGTTTAAGTATCAAATTTTATATGTATTTGTAAGTTTGTAATTTATTTGTTTGTAACTTTAGTAATTTGAATTGAATAGTTAAAAGTGTACAAATCCTGTAAATAACTGACTTAAATCACTACTTTCACTAT